GTGGGGACAGGATCCCCAGAACCCAAGTGAATAAGTGAGCAGGCATGGCGGCTGCCTATAATCCTGGTGCTCAGGGGACAGAGACAGAGGAGCCCCAGGACAACTTGGTTAGCCAGAGTAGATGAATCATCGAACTCTGGGATCAATTGAGAGCGCCTTCAAAGTGGAGAGTGATCAAGGCAAATGCCTGATATCAAGTATCAAGTTCAGGGCTACACACACACACACACACACACAGACGCTTGTAAACCATAGATGACTTTGGGAAAGGAAGTCTAATTCACATACAGACCCACTTCCTAAACTCATTTTGGAGCTGAGGAACTGAAGAGCCCATTGTTTGTCCCCAGCTAAGAGAGGTGAGGTTTTGGGGATGCCACCTAGCACTTCAGGGCCTCCCAGGAATGGCCTGTAGCTCTGTCAACCTCTATTCCAAAGAAGGCCTTTTGGTGACATCTTGTGAAAAGGACAGAAACTGCAGCTCACACTCCTGAAAGGCAAGCCCTCTGTCCCTAGTCTCTGGTCTTAAAGACAGCCAGGCTTTGGGTCCCACCCAGAGATGGACTGGATATGACAACAGAAGTCAACTCAGAAAAGGGAGGGAGCAGCCAAGAAAGGGAGAATGACTCATTCTAAAGCCAAGTCTAAGATGTCAAAGCATTTGAAGATGTGTCTGCCCCATAAGAGGCAGGAAGGAAGGCTTTGGCGAATGCACAGGCCCTTCCAGCCCAATGCCAGGCATAGATCCCAAGCAGTCTCCCCAAATGAGGCCAACAGGCTTAACAGGAGTGAGAGCCCTTGCCTGTGACCCCAGTACTCTAGCACTTGGGAGGTTGAGGCAGTGGGATTTCAAGCTCAAGGCTAGCCTGAGCTGCATACTGGGATTCTGTTTAAACAACATGAACCCATGAATCAGCTTCCAGGGCTGGATAGCTCAGTGGTCAAGAACACTTGCTTCTCTTCCAGAAGACCTGGGTTCAGTTCCTGGCACCTTCGTGCCGGCTCACAACCACTGCCATGTTCCAATTCCAGGAGATATGACACCCTTCTCTGACCTCCAAAGACATCAGGCACACACAGGTGCAGACACATATGTAGGCAACACAACTCTCTCTCTCTCTCTCTCTCTCTCTCTCTCTCTCTCTCTCTCTCTCTCTCTCTCTCTCCAGAGTAAAAGGCTGATTTTACAGTCTGTAGAGCCAGGGCTGTAGCTCACTGACAGGTGGATAGTGACACAGCCAAACAATCCAGTGAGTACTGGATGGTGTCCGCTGGTGCATCGTCTGTGCAGTCCTGCCAGCAGCAACTGGGATGGGGGTCTCCATTCTGTCACTTGTAGAAGCCTGAGGAATTTCTTTAAAAACATTTTTTACTTCCTTTTATTTTAAAATAAAGATTTGTTTTAATTTTATGCATATTAGTGTTTTGTCTGCATGTTTTCTGCGCACATTGGCATGCAGTGCCTACAGGGACCAGAAGAGGGCACTGGATCCTTCGGAACTAGAATTTCAGATGGTTGTGAGTCACCAAGTGGGTGCTGGGAATTGGATTCTCAGGATGAGCAGCCAGTGCTTAGCCAGCACTTAGCCCTCAAATTTCCTTAAATTAAAAAAAAAAAAAAAGAAAGAAAATCTTTTAGGGTCCTTGATTCAGGTAAAACAGGCTCCTTGGCGTCTGTGCAGAAAGGAATTTCTGGACAAGCCAATGAGAAGCCGAGTCAGAGTCTATTAAGGGTGGGTTGGGCTGTAGCTCACTTGGTAGCATGTTTGTCTAGCATGGGTGAAGCCATGGGCTCCATCACCAGCACTTTATAAACTGGCATAGTAAGGAATGTCTGTACCTGGAAAGTGGGGAACAGTAGGTCAGGAGTTCAAGACTACCCTTGAGGTCAACCTTGGATACTTGGGACATTGTTTCAAAAGAATGAGCAGGGTGTGATGGCTCACACCCTTAATCTCAGCCTTTGAGAGGAAGAGGTAGGCAGATAGATCTCTGAGTTCAGAGGTCACCCGTCTATCAGGATAGATAATGAGACACTGTCTCAAAACAAAAATAAAAACAAAGAAGAAAGGAAGTCACCAAAGTATAATAAACCACGAATGAGTATGGATGTGGGCTTTTTCATTATTATTATTATTATGATTTTGGTTTTTTTCAAGACAAGCTTTCTCTATATAACAGTCCTAGCTATCCTGGAACTTGCTTTGTAGACCAGACTGACTTTGAACTCATAGAGATTCACCTGCCCAAATGCTGGGATTAAAGGTGTGCGACACCATGCCTGACTGGTTTTATATTTGTTTTTATGTGTGTGTGGGCTTGTGTGTACGTATGTTCACTATGTATGTGCCTACAGAGGTCAGAGGAGGGTTTCAGATCCTCTGGGACTGGAGTTATAAGACAGTTGTGAGCCATTATGTGGGTGCTGGGAATTGAACATGGGTCTTCGTAACCTCTCTCCAGCCAAGCCAACTCTCCAGCCCATTAGTGTTGGCTTCTTCTTCTTTTTAAGATTTATTTATTTTATGTATACAAGTGCTCTATCTGCATCTATGCCTGCATACTAGACAAGGGCATCTGATCTCACTGAAGATGGTTGTGAGCCACCATGTGGTTGCTGGGAATTGAACTCAGGACCTCTAGAAGAGCAGTCAGTGCTCTTAATCTCTGAGCCATCTCTCCAGCACCCTAGTGTGGGCTTCTTAAAGATCAGTGGTTTAGTGACTTAATGGTGACTGTATGTAGGGTTTTGGCATCTTTTGGAATCTTGTTACAGAACAGGTTTTTAGGGTACACCCCTTCCTCTATCTCTGCTCCCTTTTCTATAATTGAAATCATAGAGTGGCTCTAGAAGTGCCTTGGATGAAAATATAGTCTTTTAAAATGGATTTTCAAGCTGGGTGGTGGTGGCACATGCCTTTAATCCCAGCACTTGGGAGGCAGAAGCAGGCGGATCTCTGTGAGTTTGAGGCCAGCCTGGTCTACAAGATGGAGACCAGAAGGCATCAGAGCCCCTTGAGGGAGAATTAGCTGCGAGATGTGGGTGGTGGGAACTGAAATCTGATCCTCTTTGGGAGCATCAAGTTGAGGAAAGCAAGGCCTTAAGCAGTTATTTACTATGTTAGAATCCTTGTTTCTCAGCTAATTAAGTTTTCAAATAGACCCCTGTATTAGTACCTCCTTTCCCTTTTGTTAATTTTCTCCATCTTTCTATCTGGCCTCAGTCCCACTTCTCATCTGTGCCTCTGGGAGGGTTCTGTGGGTGCCCAAGGCCACACTGGAGCTCATAAGTGACACATATCACTATTTAGACTCTGTCTAAAAAAGGAAATAAGCAGGTGAAATAAATTATTTTATTAACCATTACATATAAAATATTTCATCATATAAACAATGTCTTACATTTGATATTGCTCCAAAGCCTGGTGATTTTGTTTTGCTTCCTTTGTCTCAGACATGATAGACAGGTCCTCTACTACTAAACAATGCCCTAGATCTAAGGGGTTCTAGGCAAATGCCCTCCTATAGAATCATGGTCCCAGCTCCTAACTGGTAGACTCTAGGTGAGTGTTAACCCAACAAAGCTAGCCCTAACCTTTCCCAATGTACTTCTGATTTTTCTTTAACAGTCTGTGCCTTTGAGTGCAAGGGCCCAGAGGCCAGAAGCATTGGATGCCCCTGGAGCTGAAGTTTATATGTAGTTGTGAGCCATCCAATGTGGGTGCAGGGAACCGAACTCTTGTCCCCTGGAAGAGCAGTCCATTGCCCAGGCCCACTCAGTGTGCTTTTAACTCTCAATTTGGAGTCATCTCAGCTGAGGTACTTTTATTTCATGAAATGGTTAGGAGGTAGATCCGTTCACCCAAGCCCCCCACATACTTAAACACTGCCTAGTTAGTGAACCCAGATTATTTAAAAGCTGAAGTGGAATGAAAATCTCCACTATGCTGGCTACCACCATCCTGGGAAAGTGGAGGCACAGAAAAACGATCTGTCTCACTGTCCCCAAACATCAACACTGCCTGGACTTTGTTCTGAGAGCAACCCAAGTCCCCTCAGATCTGGGCAGAGACTGGGGGTAGGAGGAAGTACAATGAGTCAGGAGCTGTACTGATGTGGACCCTGGAGAGGCACAGGCTTAGGGCAGTCACAGTCCAGTCCTTGGAGCAGTGGCTGAGTAGACCCCACCCTGCCTTCCCACCACAGCCAGGGGCCACACAAACTGCAGAATGCTGCTAGTACGTAATTCAGGAAGTTTAACTTTCCCAAAGGCATCAGAAATCAGGATTAAGGGCAAAACCGGATTAGGCGGCTAGTCCCACTTCATCCCTGACACCCAGTGGTCATCAGGATCAATCAAATGACATTCCCCACAATGTCACGGCCAACTGGTGGCACAGCTGGTCAGGCCATGCAGGCAACACAGGATCGATGGTGGCTGCACCCTGCAGTCCATCCCCACTGCTCCTCAAAGAGCTCAAGAAGGAAAGAAGGACTGCCACGGCACTTCAGCACATGGGGAAGTTTCTATTTCAACACCAGGGTCGGGAAAGGGCACCACACTGATTGTGTTCTTGGGCACCAGGAATGGACTGTGCCCCATGGACACCCAGTTACCAAAGCCATGTAGGGAAGAATGTAGAGCCATCGGCAGGTCTTTTCTGTTACAGGACAGAATTTCCCAGAACACCAAGTCCTGGAATGGTTTAGCACAAGCCAAAGCCACGGCTTATGAGGTTTACACAGGTTGGTAGCTCCCGTTCTCAGCAGCTTGCTGTGGTAACCTAATACACCTCCAAGTGCTGAACAGCCTCATTTATTTTGTTAAATAATTTGTGCTGTCTGTGTGTGTGTGTGTGTGTGTGTGTGTGTGTGTGTGTGTGTGTGTACACATGTGGGTGCACATATGTGTGTGTGAAGCTGGAGGTAATTGCTGATGTCCCTCCCCAGGAAGTGTCCACCTTGTTTCTCAAGGAGGTATGCCGGCCTCTCTCTCTGCTGGTAAGAACTCTCCAATTAGGCTACGCTGCTGGTCAGAGTCCCAAGTGTTGGGATTACAAGTGTGCACCAACCCCACATCTGGCTTTTTTAAAAGCATGGATTCATGGAATAAACTAGGTCCTCATGCTTTGAGCCATCTTCCTGCCCTAACTTCAACAGTCAATGGGAGACGTTTTCATAAAGACTCAGTGTAGCAGGAGAACCAGGAAAGTGCTGGAGACCACATCACCAAGGTTAAAACCCAACAGAGAAAGGAGCTGGTGTTCAGCCCAGACAGGAGCCTCACTGTCACTTCACGGTCCGTCTGAAAAAGACAAGAAAGAAGCCATGGGTGACCACACATGTCAGAACTGCCTAGAAGGGGTCTGTCATGATAAAGGGCCTCGGAGACCACTGGAGATATTCTAGAAACAGCTACTGTGGCCAGGCCTGGCCTTTCTTATGGAAGCACACCACATCACATGTTTGAAAAGCACAGCTGAAGTCTCACATGCCATTTAGACTAGTACCTGAGTTGCTGGGCCAGCCAACTGATTCCCGATGGCTTCTGCTCAGGAGCTCTGGATGCTGAAGACCTACAGAGAAAGTCAGATTTGCGTTTATTAGACCCTCTCACCCACAGCAAGAGAGCCCACCTCAAATATACAAACAGCTCAAGAAAGTCAAGTATAACTACAAATAACTTAGCTGTCCTCTGACCTCCATATGCCTGCTGTAGCTAGCATGTATATCCTGTTAGCCCCAACAAAAGATGAAAAACTAAAAGGTAACTTATGGGGCTGGCAGATGGCTCAGTGGAGAGTGCTTGCTGCCCAAGCCTGGGACTCATTTAATTCCCAGCACCATGTAAAAGCCAGATGCTAGTGTGTGTCCGAAATCCCAGGGATGCTACAGGGATATGGGGGGTGGAGGCAGGAACCTCCGGGGGAGCTCTCAGGTCAGCTAGGCTGGCACACGCAAACAGGATCAAATAAAGTGAAATCAAGGACCAACATCCATGTACACTCGAGTGCATACATGGGTGGGTGGGCAGGGGAGTACACACAGTAAGTTATCTTTCATTTTGGCTCGGGAGTGAGTGCAGACAGAAGTTTCTACTACTATGTCAGGCATTGGTGGCGAATGCTTTTAATCCCAGCACTCGAGGCAGAGGCAGGCAGAGCTCTGTGAGTTCGAGGCCAGCCTGGTGTACAGAGCTAGTTCCAGGACAGCCTCCAAAGCTACACTGAGAAACTCTGTCTCGAAAAACAAAACAAAAAAGAAGTTTTTATAACTTATAAAAGTAGCAATAAGGGATGTCCTGGGCCCCTTCCCACAAAAGATATGCCAATGTCCTAACCCAACTTCTGGCAGTCAGGAAGGACACCTCCTTTAGAGACAAGTCTTCACTGAGATGACCAAACTGAGCATCAGTCACCCCAGTCATCAGTCAAGACAGCAAGCCACACAACTGACCGTGTGCTAACAGCAGGAGGCAGGATATAGACAGGCACTTGGGAAAACCACACCAAGACCAAGGCAGAGATGGGAGCAATGTGCTACAAAGCCAGGCTCATCAGGGAGCACTGGGCAAACCAGACAGTGGGAGAAGTGGGGCCTCTCAGAAGGAGCCGTCCAGTTGCCAACTCTCTGTTCTCGGCCCATGAAAGAATAAATTCCTGATGTTGAAGTCCCCAGTATGCAGCAGCTACAGGACTAATTTCACAGGACTCCAGCTCAGACTGTGAATATAAGCTTCTGTCTGCACGGCATGACGCATACCAGATTGGGAGCACTAGGAGCCCGTGCTCACCTCCCACTGCTGGCCGAGCTGCTCCCAGCTTGGCAGTTGTGGTCCAGAGGATGCCTGTGTTGAATGCAGAAGTTGCCATGGCATTGTGAACAAGCCAGCGGCAGCATCTCCTTCTTCCTGCATCCCTCTTTTGAGCATCGGTGTGTGAAAACCTGCAAGGAGCAAAGTAACTTCTGTGAGCAGCATGTCACCAGCCTACCTGGAAAGGACCCTGGCAGCACAGGGTTGTGACTCTAAGTACTCAAAGAGTCTGCGTTAGGAGAGAACTGTGCCTTGGCCCTCAACACACACAAACACCTGAAGCTTATGGGTGTGGCTTAGCAGCAGATTTATTCCCCAACACTGCCCAATAAAAACAAAAGCAACAAAAACCAAAACCTGAAGCTGCGGGGATGGCTCAGTGGGTAAGAGCACTTGTAAGGAGATAAAGATCGAAGATCAGATCCCCACGTAAAAATCTGGGCACAGCTACACATGCTGCAACCAGGGCTTGTGAGGGACAGGGATGGGGATGGGGGCTGGGAGGAGAAAAGGGGAGACCATTATTGAAGCTTTCTTGCTGTCAGCCTAGCTCCAGCTTCAACAAGAAACTGTCAGAAGAGGGCATAAGGCAGGGAATGATGGCGCAGCCAGAAGACACCCTTCTCTGGACTCTACACCTTCATGCAAGGGCAATGCATACACATGTGTATATACATTCACACACAAACCAAAACAAAAAAATTTATTTATTGCTTTTTATTTTTCTTAAAAAAAAAAAAAAAAAAAGTCTGGGTCTCACTATGTAGCCTTGGCTGGCCAGGAGGAGCTTGCCATATTGCCATGTACCATGCCGGCCTTTACTCTGCCTCCTAATTGCTGGAATTAAAGGCATACATCTGGCTTTTTAAAAGTTGTTTTAAGAGGGAAAATAAAAAGCTAAGGACAAGCCCTGGGCGCTCAGAATGAGGATGCCAAGGTTCTGTTTAAACAGCTTGTGCCAGGTGAAAGGCAAACACCGACTATGCAGTCAGCAAAGCTGTGGCCCCTTGGGGGAGGCAACAGGTGATTTCCTGGAAGACTAGGCAGAAAGAAAACAGGGCAGGGAGGGAGGCAAAGCAAGGGCGTGACAGCAGCACCATGGCAACTGGCTCAGCGGTTCTGGGACAGTAGTTTCTGAGGATTTAACTCAGGTTGTGAAGCCTGCATGGGCAGGCAGAAAGCTTTATCCATTTAGCTGCTCCCCGGCCCAAGTGTATGCTTACTCCGGAAAATGGTGGGGCGAGCATCCAAGAAAACAACAAGCAGGAGAAAAAAAGCAGGGGGAGCTCCCAGGGGAGGAGCAGCCAGGATGTGAGGGCTCCTCAGTCTGCAGCTCAGGCCCTGGGAATGTGCGGCCTGCAGAAGGCCGATAAGGAAAGGATCTGCAAATGTTAAGGCTCTTCCCCATATGAAATAAACAAAATGGCAGCACATTTCGCTAAAAGCAACAAGTCTAGAAAAGCAAACAATAAAAAGGGAGGCACAATGGTGCAGGCCTGCAATCAGAGAGCTGAGGCAGGAGGATCAGGAATAAGCTAGACTAGGTCTCAAAAACACGAAGGGAGGGAGGGAGGGGAAGGTGAAGCTGGGGTGTAGGAGGAGGGAGAAAGGGAGGAAAAGGTTGTAGCCAGATTTCAGAAGCTAAAATTACTAGCAGGTGAGAGAAGACACAGCTATTAGCTGGAAGAGCCTCAGAGCAAGCCCTCTGAGGAAGCAAAGCACAGTGGGCAGAAACAGTCACTGGGAGGCTGGGCGCAGCAGGACCACATCCCAAAGAGGCCACAGCCCACCTGAAGGCCTGATAGGATAGAGGCTGAGAATAGAGGCAGCTAGTGCCCAGCTCAGGGGCCACACAGTCCCTGCCTGTGCTGCCCTCTGGGTGGCAGAGAAGGTACGTCCATACCTTCACCAAGAAAGACCAAAGACAGGCACACACCCGCCTCTCACCCTGTCGCCCCCCCCCCCAGGAGAGGACCAAGAATGTGACCCATTTCTTCTGACTCCAGAGGGAGTGCAGGAAAGGAGAGAGTTAACGGAAGGGTCTAGAAACCCTTGCCCTCTTTTATATCAGAAGAGACACTTGGGGATTCCTGAAGACAAGGACCTAAACTGAGACCCTTGTGAGGATTGGGAACTGTTTCTATGCGGCAAACTCACCATTCACAATGCAGGAAGACCTGGCTTCCCACCAACTGTCAGCACTCCACATTTTGATGCCCAACAAGCAAAATGTCTGGGGTTCGATCCCCAACACCATATAAAACAGGCATGATCTTGCATGACTGTAATACTAGAGCTCAGGAGAGGAACCTAGGGGGATTAGGAGCTCAAGGTCATCCTTGACTATATAGAAATACTAGACCAGCCTGGGCTATGTAAGATGCAGTCACAAAAGAAAGAAACCTGACCAGCACCCCCTCCCCCGAAAAAAGAAAAACAGCAGCAGCAGCACTATGCTGTGTACCATCGTGTGTTAGCAGCAGCAGCAGCACTATGCTGTGTACCATCGTGTGTTAGCAGCAGCAGCACTATGCTGTGTACCATCGTGTGTTAGCAGCAGCAGCACTATGCTGTGTACCATCGTGTGTTAGCAGCAGCAGCACTATGCTGTGTACCATCGTGTGTGCAGCAGCAGCACTATGCTGTGTACCATCGTGTGTGCAGCAGCAGCACTATGCTGTGTACCATCGTGTGTTAGCAGCAGCAGCAGCAGCAGCACTATGCTGTTTATCATCGAGTGTGTTAGCGCTAATCCAACTCTCACCTTTTTGTTCCTCCCAGGGTGAGAGGTGCAATCTCTGTCCATGTGCTCTCCAACCACCACATCTGGGATCTCTCCTCTTTTCACAGGGATGGGGACACTACAGAGGGGACACACGGGCACCTGCACATCCTGAAATAATGAACATACAATGACACCAAGACTCACACACGATGGTGTCTTACAGCATAACAGTAAACCACCCAAAGTTGTTCAGTGGGATTTAAACGCACAAAGGCCATCACTGCCAGCTTTGGGGGGCCCTCAAGAGAGGAAGCTGGTGAGATGGGGGTGGAGGGCATAGCATGGCTGTGGGAGGGGACCCACCTGACCCCTCAGAGACAAGGTGATAGGTGGAAACACTGGCAGGAAGGGTCCCAGCAGTCACTCTGATCCTCAGTGGGTTTACAAGCAGGGAGATAGCCTCAGCAGAGGACAGGGCTGAGACCATGTGGAAATACTTAGATTAATAGAAATCCACAGGGCTATACCCCACTGCTGACTGCCAGCTACTGAGGGGGCTCTGCAGGGAGTGATGGCAAAACTCTGAGCCAGGACCACTGAGGGAGAGGGTCCATGCCAGAGGGGATGGGGCAGGCAGCTGACATCAGATGCGAACAGGCATCACAAGCTTGTGAGGCTTGCTGTCTGCAGAAGGGCTGCCTCAGTTGGCTGATGGGCCCACAAAGAAACAAAGCATTCCTGTGTGATCACTGAGTAGACACTTCCCAGGATGGGTACAAGGAAAGGTCCAGATGACACACAAACAGGATGGCACCTAGTCATCTGTGCCTGGTAAACAGGGATGTAAGTCACCTACCCCACCCACCACAATGACTTGGCCGGACTATAGCCAGCCCTGCTTAAGGCATGTGACAAAGTCACTTACTGTCCATATGTCACCAGGGGAAGTGGCAAAGTTCACTGACATAACCTATGAGTCACCTTTGAGACAGAGTGAACCCATGGACTTGAGGAACCTGGGTTTTAACGGGCACCTCCCAGTGTCAGCTGGACAGTGTGGAATCTTCTAGAAACTCCTGCTACAATGACTCAGAAGGAACGAGAAACTTTGACAACTACTGTTCCCTGTTGCAGGGGGATCCACAAGCCAAGTGTGTGAAGTGAAGGGCCAACTGTGAAGGCTTGAATGTGCCACACACACTGAGGGTGAGATTTGAGGGCTGGGAGACAGCCCCGTTGGTAAAGACACCCAAGCAAGCACCATGACTTGAGTCCCCTCACCCCCCTTTGGTGGAATATGCTGGTAATCCCAACACTGCAAAAATGGAGACAGGAGGATCCCTGGGACCTTCGAGCTAGCCAGCCTAACCTACTTGATGAATTACAGGCAGTAGTGACTTACCTCAAAAAAAAAAAAAAAAAAAAAAAGGCAAGGTGAATGGCACCTGAAGTTGTCCCCTACTCAGCCCTCATACACAGCACAATTTGACTGAGTGGGTGCAGACTTCCCCATGGGCCTCGGGAGTCACAGCCTACAGCCACAGTCCTGATTTCCATACAAATACACTATCTGGAGACAGCACAGGATGCATGGAGCACAGGATGCATGGAGCACAGGATGCATGGAGCACAGGATGCATGGAGCACAGGCTGCAGAGGCAATCATGGCCCCTTCTGACTTCCTGACTATCACTATCACAGCAGACTGCTACTGCTAACCCCCTGCACCTACCAGGGTAGGCTCAGAGCACAAACACTCCAGTAGCCACGTGAATTGGTCCTTCCATACAATCTTGTAGCACGAAGAGACACTAAATATTGGTCATCTCCCTCCAGCTGTTTATTCCCTTGCACGCCTGCCTCTGCCTCCTGAGTGATGGTATTAAAGGTGTGTGCCACTACTATGACCTGCTGGCAGCATGCATTTGTAATACCAATGCTGGGAAGGCAGAGACAGGAAGATCTTGGGGCTGGTTGGCCAGCCAGTCTGGCCACTTAGTAAGTTCCAGATTCAATAAGAGAACTTGTTTCAAAAAAGGTAGAAAGCAGCTGGGTGTGGTGGAGCATGTTTTATCTCCCAGCATTTAGGAGGCAGAGACAGATGGAACTCTGAGTTCCAGGCCAGCCTGATTGACAGCAAATTCCAAGCTATTACAGATATGAAGGGGGACCCTGTCTCAAAAAACAGAACTAAACAAGTAACCAAAATAAAATAAAATAAAATAAATTAACACAAGCAGCTGGGGTGGCTGGTATCCACTGTCCTGTTATGACGTACACTACATTGCTAAACGGTCACCTGAGTTCACTGAGAAGCTGGCTCTGGAAGCCATGCTGCAACCCATCCCCAGCCCATTTCCAATCCAATCATGTTTATCTCAACATGTCCTCCAAGACTTCTTGCCTGGGGATGGGTCAGTCCCCCTAACTCTGTGACAGAAAGAACAGAACAGCCATGCAGACCACGTGACAGCACCATGTCACGGAGAACAGCCAGAAGGGAAACTACTTCCAACAGGGGGACTGCTGCCTACCCTGTGATGGGGGAAGTACCTGCCGTGGGAACAGAAGTCAGAAAACAGCAATTGCGAACTCCCTCAACCTCCCCATCCGTTTCTGCTGTTTCTGTTTCTGGTGTCCAACTGGACAATGTTTTATACTATTTATCCATCCACATCCCCTTCTTCCAGCTCGCTCTTGCTACTCTTTTACCTTGGCTGGCTACACACTTAATAAACCCACTCATTCAACACTCAAGGCATGGCTATCTGAGACCACTCTTTGGCCTGCACAGAACAACTGGTCAGAACGGCTGTGGTGTGCGGCAGTCTAGACCCCAGGATGATGAGTTACCTTCTTGAATGCAAAGGGACACTTATGACTGGCATAGGAAAAATGGTCTTTACAGAAATCTTGTTTGCATGCATCACATGTTACTGGCAGAAAATCTAAAAAACAAAAATTAAGACAAACCAGTAAATCTTCTGAAAGACCGGAACCAAAGAATTACATACCATTCAAAGCAGGAACGTATCTACATTAGGCTCCTCATTCCTTTAAGACACACATAGATCCTGGGAGTGTCACATTTGAGAAAAAACAACTTTGGGGAGAGGAAATTAAAAAAGAAAGAAAGAAAGAAAGAAAGAAAGAAAGGAAGGAAGAAAGAAAGAAAGAAAGAAAGAAAGAAAGAAAGAAAGAAAGAAAGAAAACTCAAGATGGGTCTTATTTAGCCCAGGCTGGTCCAGAACTCACTAGGTAGCTAGGAGGACCTTGAATGTCTGCTCCTCCCACTCGACACTCTCCAGTCTGGGGTTACAGGCATGAGCCACCACATTGGTTTTACGTGGTGCTAGAATGGAATCCAGAGCTTCATACAAAGAGTTCTACCAACTCAGCCACAACCCCAGTCCCAAAGCTAGAAATGTAATAAGGTCAAGAGACACCGAAGGACCCACAAAGCTATCTTCTCAACAGAGTCCATCTCTTGTGGTATCGCAACCATCCAAGCTATATACCTGTTGTATCTGCATAGCCCTGGTGGCCATTACCTGACCTTAAGTGGATGTTAAACTTCAGTGTTTAACAGGCCCTGTGTCCTGCACCAGAGTCCTCATGCTGAGAAGCCAAAGACCAGGACTTTAGTTAGTTAATGATGTTAATAGCCAGAGGTTTCTCGCAAAACTGCCAATGAGATAACCATTTCCTAGAAGGAGCCCTTCAAAGTTCTTACCTAGTTGCTTGCAAGTTGGTTCTGAGCAGTGCTTCCCCAAGTCAGGAAACTCCATTATGAACACAGTGTCCAAAAGACAGGTATTTAAGTATTAATCACCTGTGGGAATTAGAAATGAAGAAAATGAGGCCCTGATCTACATAGCAGTTCCAGGCCAGTCTCAGAGATAGAATGAGACCCAGATTCAAAAAGGAAAAAAAAAAAATCATTACAATTAGTGGCTAGTGATGGGAAACCTAGTGTTGAAGAGCCAGACAGGATTCACTGACAAATTATCCTATTTCAAAGAAAACAGTGCGTGGCTTCTAAGGAATGATACCTCTTAGCTTAATAAAAGAATGCTTGCCTAGCATGGGGGAAGGGGAAGTTCTGGGTTCAATCCCCAGCTCTGGCAAAAACAAATGTGGTGACAATGAGAAGGGCTTTCCATATTCAATTCATAGGTGCCACTGAAAACTACAATTTCCTTGGATTTCCAGTTGCAATTTCATCTTCTCCTTAGTACACTTGTTGACATCAAGATTCTATTCCCAGGTGCTAAATGACATTAGTCGACTACACTCCCCAGTGTGGTCTGTCCCTTGCGTCTTACTCTCTTATGCACTGAGTTTTACTTTGTACTTACTACTTAATGATATCAGGCCAGAGCTGATTAGGGAAGGAGGCTCAAGCCATTAATTACCCACAAGAAATAGATAACTAGAAAGGCTTGGCATCCTGGAGACCAGGCTTAAGTCCAAGTCTCCTCTATGTTCTGTCACCCATCAAATGGTTCAAAACTCTTGCACTTTCCAGAGTTCAAGTCCCCCAGAGATCTTTTCACATCTTTCTATCACTTCATTTCCCCACTGGGAAATTCTAATCTATTCCTTGTTTAGAACTCTTAGACTTCAGTAAACATCTATTTGCCTTGCAAGGACTAAGCTGCAGTGTTAACTTTTTCCAAACATCATCCCTACCACCTGCCAGCCCCCTTCACTTCCCACCCTCAACTCGTCCCCTCCCAGTGTATTTAGTTGCTAATTGCTGACTCTCCTGCTGGCGAGAAAACCTTCCGGCATCCTGCGCAACAGAATCCCCACTATGAGACGTTTTTATTCAAAGATGTCAGCACTTGATGCTATTACCAAATGACCATCGATTGTCTCTATTTTTTATTATTATTTTTTAATTATATGGGAGGGCAGTCTGTATTATGTAGCCCTGGCTGTCCTATAACTCAATTTGAAGACCACACAGACCATCAACTCAAAGATCCCCTGCTTTTGCCTCCGGAAGCGTTAAGATTAAAGGTGTGAACCGCATGCCCGTTTCGTAGACTGTTTCATGAGAAAAGATCTTCATTATTTATACCAGAATTTATACCCTGGATCTTGCGATCTAATGGCTCAATTTCCCCAGTGCTAAGACTACAAGCCTGAATCACCACGCCTGGCCCACGACACTGGTTCAGGACAGTTAACCTGGGGAATGTAATATGTCACTGAGCTAAATCAGTAACCCCTTGACGCCCAGGCCAGAGGAAACCACGGCGCGAAGACGCCAGCCCCAGGTTCACTAGCTCCTGTGATCCCCTAACTCAGCAGCACCTGTGACCCGGTTCAACGCGACCCACAACGACACACCGGTACCTGGCTCTCGTGGGTAGCTGGGGGCCTACGACGGAGACAGACAAGCGGTGTCCTTCGTGGTCAGCCTGGCGACACCGCTGCACGAACTGCAGCACCAATCCCCGCGTGGCACCCGACTTCTCGCAAGGCCGGAAAGCGTAGCATTGCATCTGCTAGAGCCAGGGCCATTTATTCTCAGCCAACAGATACAGAGTCATGCATCCTGGGCGTTCCCGTCGCGCTCCGATGACGCACTGCAAATGTCAGCCAATCCCGTAATGCCTAGGCTAGGCTCTCCGGCGCGCCTAAAACGTCACCAAAGGCGAGCCAATCCCTCCTCGCTGTGAAACAACCCCCACCCCCAGGGCGCGCACAGTGGTGTTGTCACTTGCTGTGAGACCAATCTGGTGAGTCCACGGCTCGGTCCCACTTTGTCCTCCGCCTCTTTTCTGGAACAGTCGTGCAAAATCTCTGTCCTGGGCTGAGTCATGGTGAAGCAGCTCTGGGCGAGTTGGTAGGCCTGTACAGCCAGGGAGGCTGAGACAGGACTGGGCCGGGGGTCAGAGTACAGCGGTCCGGCAAACCCTGTCGGTAGGCGTCCTGAGGGTTGGAGCTACAGTGTGCACAAACTTGGTGGCCCATCTGTGAAGCTGTAGGGATCCTAGGACTGGGGCAGACAGAACCCCTGTGCCAGGTTTTGGACGTGAGATCCAGTCTAGAGATGGAGTACATAATAGTACCCCAAATGCCTTTATCTTTGTTAGCAGAATGGTAGGAGCATCTTCGCCCTATGCATGTGGATTAGGCAAGATGTTCAAGTATTGAGTGTTATGCCCCGATCGTGGAGTCCCCCAGAGACTAACAAGGAGACCGAGTCCTGTATGTAAAAGCGTTTGCTCTTTAGCCTTTATTCAAGCCCAAACTTGGGCTCTCCCACAGCCGTTGAGAGCAGAGAGTGCCCATCCCGGGCAGGGTAGGGTTTTTGTTATAGTAGAGGTTGGGGGGTGAGGGGATTTTCAGGGTTCAGGACCCTAATTGGCTAACATTTGTCTAGGGGTGTCTTGGTGAAAGGGGATGGGTATGTGCTAGGCTGAGGGACATCAGGTGATCCTATCTACAATGGTTGGAACGTTAGGTACTTTTCACTTGGATGATCCGTTCCTGGGTGGTGCCCGGGTGGTCCCAGCTTGTGGCCTCTCCTGGAGTCAGGTGTTGCTCCGGGGTAAACTGAAACTTCAGGTCTACTTTCTGATTGGTCTGCAGTGAGACTTGGCACGGCAGCGGTGCTGCCAAGAAGCAGGTGTGTGCCAAGTTGCTGTGGGCTTCACACCAAGTCTTGAGTACCAGCGGCCTATGAGTTGGGCTAGCTGACCCAGAGCACTGGTTATTTATTTATTTATTTATTTATTTATTTATTTATTTATCTGGTCAACTTGACATATGTGAGAAGAGGGGACCACAATTGAGAAAATACCTCTATCATACTTGCCTAGGGGGTGTTTTTAAATTAGTGATTAATGTGGAGTAATTATGAGCAGTGCCTAGGTTCTATAAGAAGGCAAAAGCAAGCCGGGCTGTGGAGGTTCACGCCTTTAATCCCAGCCTCTGGGAGGCAGAGGCAAGTGGATCTCTTGAGTTCATAGCCAGCCTGCCTACACTGTAAATTCCTGGACAGCCAGGGCTACACAATGGCTTCTGCTTCAGTTCCTACCCTGTTTGAGTTTCTACCTTGACTTCCTCAATGATGGACTGTTTACCTGGAAGTGTAAGATGAAATAAACCTTTTCCTCCAGAGTTGCTTTTGGTTATGGTTGTTATGGTTGTGCTGACCCCCCAATCATAAAATTATTTTTATTGCCACTTCATAACTGCAATTTTGCTACTGTTATGAACTGTCACAGAAATATTTTGGGGGATAGAGGTTTGTCAAATGGGTCATGACCCACAGGTTGAGAACCACTGTGCTAAGGCCAGAGACATGGTTGGACTTTGATTGTCAGTGGGGCTGGTGATATAATCCTCAGCTCTAAGTAAGAGCTAACAGCCACAGGCAAAACTTTAGCTTTGTTTATATAAAACACAGCCCTCATCTCAAATTGTAACTGGAGTTTCTTTTCCTGCCTGGCCCCACAGGTTCATCAGCCCTAAATAAGCACACAGAGAAATATTAATTATAAACTGTTGGCTAATGGCTAGGGCTTCTTACTGGCTAGTTCTCTCTTAATTATTAACCTATAACTACTAGTCTATGTATTTCTACATGGCCTTATCTTATCAGAGAATGCCTGGCATGTCCTACCTTCCCAGTCTCTACATGACGTCCTCTTGATTATACTGAAGCCAAATATGAGTGACTGTGGCACAGGAAGAGAGTCAGTTCACCTCAAATATCTTTTTCTGGTGTAGTATAAGCTTTATGGAGTTTATATGGTAACGGGACAAAGAAAATGATAAATGAAGACACTTAAAATGCCTTGGTGAGCTGGGTGGTGGTGGCACACGGCTTTAAACTCAGCACTCCGGAGGCAGAGGCAGGCAAATCTCTGTGACAGGCTCCAAAGCAATACAGACAAACCCTGTCTCCCAAAACAAAAGCCTTGGTGGAAATCTCAGGTAGGTGGATTACAGCAAGTGGGGTGGCCTCTGTTAGAGGCCTTGAATGACATCTGATGACATTCTTAGCCTTTGGGCTGGTGAAAGCCGGGTTCACTTGTACATTCCAAAAGTATTTACCTAATAGTCTAAAAGATAATAGCTCACATGTGCACTGAGGGGCATAGGTGGCTAATTGAGGAGCTAAAAGATGTCTAGCCCAAGATTACTTGGTTCTGGGACCTGTAAAATTCCAAGTCTGCAAAGTCAGTGACGTTCTAATCAGCCTTGTAGGATGTGTAGCAATGGTGTGGTTGATACCAATATGTCTTACCCCTTTACTAATAAGGCTGGTTGCTTTTTCTACCCATGATGAGTAGTCAAGGGGGAGTGTTTCTAGTGTTGAAGACCTGGGCCCTTGGGTGCCAAAGGCTTTCTTCTAAGCCGAGGTGACAGACTCAGAGCCATCCAGCTGCAAGTCCTGAGAATAGGAATCTACAGCCCCAGACTCCGTGGCCGGAACAGTGGCTGCAAATGCTTGGGTTAGAGATTCTAGGTTTTGCACACAGCTGCTAGTGTTAGACTCTCAGGTGGGCCCTGGATTTCGGGACCCTCACCTAGCAGCTGTCAGTGTCACCTACCCCTTGTCAGACCAAGAGCATCTGCCAGTAATGGTCCTTTATTTATTTATTTATTTATTTGTTTGTTTGTTTTTTTTTCCAAGACAGGGTTTCTCTCCTGGAACTCACTCTGCAGACCAGGCTGGCTTCCAACTCACAGAACTCCACCTGCCTCTGCCTCCCGAGTGCTGGCATTAAAGGCATGCGCCACCACTGCCTGGTGAACCTGTGTTTCTTTTCTCTGACTCTTGGCAGCTTTCTGTTTTTTTCCCTCCTTTCTTCGGGTCTGGGCACTCCCATCTCCATTCCCTGTTGTGTTCCTTGTTCTGTGCCCCTTCGTAGCTCTTGGGCACTGTGAACCTCCTCAGCAGCTCTTCAGCCACTTCTCATCATGTTCCCAGTGCAACCCTCTCAAAAGCAGGCAAAAGGAGCTGGGGAGATGGCTCACCATACAGTGCCTGCTGTGCAAGCTTGAGGAACGCAATTGGATCAGAACCCATGTAAAAAGCTGGGTGTGGTTGTGCAGCCTGTAATCCCAGTACTTGGGAGGCACAGACCCTGGGGATTGGCTGGCCACCTAGTCTAGCTGAAAACAGTGAATTCTATATTCAGTGAGGAATACTGTCTCAAAACAAGGTAGAAAGCAGGCGGTAGAGGCACCTGATGGTGACCGAGTATGTGTACATGTGTGTGTGTGTGTCTGTGCGCACGCCCATGCCAGAGTTGACCTCAAGATAGGTATAGGAGGAGAAACATTTGAGAAGGGAACCTAAGGGAATCAAGCAAGGGATGCTGTGGGAACCGGCCATTATGGGCCTTCATTTGGATCCAGCTGACTTGCCCTATTCATACCTGAGAGGGAGTGTGGATTGAGAAATGGCAGGTAAAGATGTTAAGAAAAAGAGACAGGATAGAATCAGGAGTGCAATCCAGTGAATACTGAATGTGTCAATTTTATTCTTCAACATTCTTAAATACCCAACCAAAAATGGGAACATGGTATCATGTACCTAGAACAAACAAACTGTTTTTCCTTAATTCTCCAAGCATTTGGTAACCACACCTTAGACTTAATTTCTCATTATCTGGCTTTGAGGATCAAGAGTAACTACACCTCAGACCAAGTCTGTTGTTATTTGGATAAGACACCCTAGTCCAAGATCAAACATCCTACTGTAGCCATGCCTAGACCTTTAGGTTTTATGACTTACTAAGGACAGTTTTGAACTCTCTGACCTAGAGCCAAGATGAAGGGGAGCCATCTTTATGGGCCCCAACAGGATGAACTTGAGGATACAAAATTAGAGGATGGGGACTGTGCCCTTGAATTGTGTTTATGATGCTTACACCTGAGGTAGCACCAGGGATTTATCACAAGAATTCAGGGAAGAGGTTAAAAAAAAAAAAATGCTTGGGTCTCAGGCAGCCTCGTGGCGAAGAATTTTAACAGAATCTTACTGTGTAGCCCAGGCAAGCCTAGAATTCACAATGATCTTCCCAAGGACTGGGATTACAGATGTGCATCATCAAGCCAGTCACCAACCTGTTCTTTAAATTCCAGCTGCCACACTATTGATGAGTATTAAAGATGGTCATGAGCTCCATGCAGGTGCTTTTGCCTCTGTGTTCTGTCATAGAGTTCCTACCCAAACTCCAATACTGGGCATTGAACCAGGGCCATAAACATGCTTAGCCAGTGTTCTGTTAGCCCCACCCCTCACAGGAATTCTAGAGATTCCGCTCTACCACTGAGCCACACCCCAGCCCCTCACTGGGGGATTCTTGGCAGGTGCTCTACCACTGAATTGTTTCTTCTTTCCTCTCTGCACTAATGATTGAAACTAGGGTCCTGTGTTTGCTAAACAAGCAGCACTGAGCTGTATCTGCAGCCCTCAAACCGATTTCCTAATGAAAGAAAGCTGCTGGTCTCTCACCGCACACCACAGTCCCTACAAGTCCCTCATCCTTTTGCGATTGTGTTGCTTTGGCTTGGCACTGTGTACCCAACCATCACTTTGGAAA